ATGAACCAAGTGGCCCATCAGGCCGGAGCTTATCCTGGATTCTGTAGCATGAAGTAACTAGGAGTATTTCTACTCCTCCTGGATGGGATGCTGTTCCATTGCAGGGTTACCCCCGGCATTGAATTCCCCCATACCCATTTATACACCTGGGTGGAAAGGGCCACTGTGAAAGTAATGTGTCTTGCTTACGAACATGACACAATGTCTCTGGCCAGGGCTCAAACCTGAACGGCTTGATCCAGATATGAGCGCACTAACCATGAAGCACCTAGGAATAGAAAGTAGAAGTAGAAAGAAGTAGAAGTAGAAAGAAATTCAAACTTACCTGTTTTATGATACTCTTGACTTGCAATATTGGTATTCCTTTATAACTGGACTTTATTATTAATTTTAACAAGTTATGACCTAACACTTCAAAAACCATACATATATCTGTGAAGCAAGAGTCAAGGAAATAAGGCATTTAAAAAAGACTTGGTTTTAGAAAAAATATATATTTAAAACAATTCCTTCTATTAGAGAATGGGGTCTGATCAGGTGACCTGCCCTGCCATAACGGATACGTGAACCATTTATTCCTACAATTTTGAAATCATCCGTTAGCTGGACAACATGTTTATATCCAGTGTGATTTGCATCTGCTGTGTGCACCTAAAAGATATCAAGGGCATGTGTTTAGATATTACATGAAGTAAAAAGGGAAAAATACACAATGAGAGATGTTACTATCTTAAACCAAAAAAAGAATTATTATAAGTAAAAACAAATTCTTACAGTTCTTAGAAGTTTCATTTCATCTATAGCAGTTTCTGTATAATGAGATGCGCTTTTAACAATCTTCAGTGCTACAAACCGGCGATCTCTGGAAATAAAAAAAGAAAATTATGTCACTACATTGTAGGGACATCATGAATGAACTGATAACCAGAATATTTTCAAAATATGATTCTGCAGTATATTTTGCATAGTGACCCAGTAAATGTGTTTTTGCTTTGTGAGTTAGGTTGTTGTGATCTCAGTTGCGTAGCTCTCCACATCCTTGCAAACTGAGACTTCCTTTGAGTAATCGAGTTGGCTGCAGAGACATCTATGCCAACTCTCCTGAATTATTCAAGAGTCTCCTGGACACAGACTGAATCTCTGGAACATTTGATGCATTTTTGTGACTGAATTGGAGGAACTTTAATTTCAACAGAGTGTTTTTTTAGGGTCGATAAGCTAAAATTGGCGATCTCCCAGACTTCAATTTTGCTAGGTTGGCATCTCTGCAAAGATAAAGGACTCATTTCCAGTTAGGAAGTGAGATCTACCTTCACTGAGAAAGAAAAAGGTTCCTCCCACAGGAGGAACCTTTTTTCCCACACAAAAACATTTTGCCAACATTAAGCACTGGATTTCAAGAACACCCAGAAGCGAAGCCTATATACCCCAACTACTGATTACAATACTCACTTGAGATCCCATGCCAACCACACAGTTGAAAAGTGTCCCCATCCCAGCTTTCTGATGATGCTGTACCGGTTATTGAACAAGTCACCTAATCGAACAGGATGGTACCCTCCTGAAAGGGAAGAAATTAACAAAGACCATCAACACCCACACACTTTTCTTCACAGTGTGCGTAACTTGATTTCTTTGCATAATCTGAGAAATTCCACCCGACAGAGATCACATGTCTGAGGTACGTTGTAAAAAATTCCATTCCTGATAATGGAGTTCTACAAGGATTTATGTGATGGGGGTTCACCAGTTGAACAAAAATCCCATAAATTGCAGTTGGAAACCAAATCAAATGTAGCAATTTACCAAAAAAAATCTGTTTGACAGAAATTGTGTTTTTGAAACAATTTTTCGAGGTAACTAGTCCTACCATTTCAATTGGTACAAACTGTCATTAAATTCTATGGCTGTTAGTCTATTTTTCTCTTTATTTTCCAGTTTTTCATCATGGGAGAATAATATTTGACCAAGTTAAGTACAACTGAGGGAGTAACTGCACAGTCAAATAATTTCAAAATCAAGGAGCAAGTAGTGCAAGCGTGACTTGAGATCACTAGCACAATAACTGAGTCCCTAAATTTCCATATGTTTCAAAGTCTAAAGAGAACATTAATTAGGAAGCCATGAAAGTGCACACAATTGATATGCAAATACACAAACATTTGTTATAGGATACCTGTAATATGAGCGCACACCAATCACATGACAAACAGGAGCAAGGAAACCAATCAATGATCGAGAATTTTGTTATACACTGTAGATAGGATTAAGCTAATTACATCATGAGCACAGATTTTTTAATTCTAAACTCAGATATCCCTCTCACTGGAGAAGAGTTATGTATGCACAATGGTAGATCTGTCTTTGCCAGCTGTAAACTGTTGAGGACACTATATAATTATGTAAATTATGTGCTAGAAGAATTTTTCTGGCCTTTGGCTGACAGGTGTCGGGAAATGCAACTCCTACATCGGTGCAGGAGTATCAGCTCCCACAGTGTGTGGCTCCAAATTTTTCATATTAGGTGTTATGTTAAATTTTTAAGCAAAACACATTCTTTTAAGCCAATAATTGTGCCCCATCCAAAGTGCATCATAATTTCAAATAATACTCATGGAAATTTTTGTCCCTTTTAAATTGCTACAGTTTGTTACATTTTGATTTCAATTCACCAAGAAAGTCAAGGTGTTTAATAAACAAATGACAACTTAACAGTCACTTTCCATAATGATGATGGAAATGTGGTTCCCTTTCCACTCAATGCAAATTTCTCGCCTTGCATAAATGCAAAAACTATATTTCTGTTTGGTGTGTTTGATACGCATTAAGCACTATAAATGGTAAAATTATTTGGAATGCATCCCTTCAACTTTTGACTACAGGATTTCCTGTTTCTGTATGTAAAGATCAATTTTCAAAACATAAAGCTCTTGAGCTTCAGAATCAAAACAAAAACAATAAAAACATACTAGTCTTCCAAAAAGATACAAAAGGGAGGTAGCGCAATAAGTTTCTCTTTTAAGCATTCCAATTTTTTTTCTACCACAATGACTCTGTGAGAAACAAAGCGCTATGTTTGTAGCAACATACAACTGCACATTGTTACGAAAGAAAGGTTACTGAAGGTGAACATCATCTGGACAAAAATTTCCATAGGTTTGCTTTAATTTAAGACCCTCAATCAAGCGATTACGAGAAAGTTCATAAAGCAAATGAAAAAAAACCTCCATTGTGCTTTAAAATTATTGTTTGATACAGAGCATAGACTTAATTGTTGTCACATTTTCACTTCAAACAAAGCCATTTGTTGCCGCGTTGAATATTTCTTTTACAAAATACTCATGCAGTAAACAGAGTCACCTTCAAAACACTCTAGAAACGCTTTGACAATCGTATCGCTTATTGACTGCAAGATCTGGCATTATTACCGATATTTACCGTGTGCAAGTCCAACTCGATTCATCAGTTGAAGTTTGTATACATGTACATTAGAAAAATCGCAAAACAAATTCCTTTATCGCTTATCTTTTCGTAAAAAACTTCCATATTTCCTGACAATACTAATCGGCCGCACTATTTCAAAGGACGAAACTAAGAAGATCAATTTCAAACCCTCTCAATACGTGTTGAGCTTTCGGGCAGTATAATTTTCCAGTTTTGAACACGCTACAGACAGATTAATTTTATATGAGCTTGTCAATTTAGACACATCTTTAGGTGCATTGTCAACGAAATTTTCAGCTAGATTCACAGTAACGAAGTAATGAAGAATAAACTTCTCCGAGTCTCAGCAGGAATATGCATAATTTAGCCTGGTGTAGATCGCTGTTCTTGTGTATAAAATACGAAAGGAATTGTAAAACCACTTCAAACCGACACTCGCTACAATCGCCAACGTACCTTTGCAGTAATCTCCTGGCTCCTCTTGTTCCTCTTCGTCGGAGTTTTCGTCCACTTCATAATCTTCATCGTTGAAACTAGACACACTCCCGCTAGACATAATACAAAACAGAAAACATTCATCAACATTTAGCCTGTAAAAAAATTAACCATGAGTTCTCTTTACCTTTTCGGCTTGGTCTTGCTGTCTTCTGGCCTCATGCGTGCCTTTGGTGCTTTGTACCTCTTTTTCTTCGCTTGTATTGCAAGAACTGAAACGAGTCACAGTAAATCAGTGAGTAATATATCCCGTTGTAGAGCTTAGGAAAGGGCATGTTAGTTTATCTAACCTTTCCGTTGCATTTTGGAGTTCATTATACCGTTTTTCGTTGCCTCTGATAAGCTTGTTGAAAAGTTGACTATTTTTTTGGCGCGCATGTCAACGCACAGGGATCGCGGGCTCGACAGCTTAATGCGTGAGCAAAAAAAAACAACAACTTCCATTTTTCGGCTAAGATTGCTTTCTAAAAACAGTTCATCGTAGACCTATTTTTAACGGTCTTTCTTTTTCAATGGACTAAATTTCACTCATGATTCCTGCTTTTCAAAAATGATTTTTAGTATCAGACTAAAATAGATCCCATGGAAATGTAGTCGCTGCAGTCGACAAATCATGAAAAAAAATTTTTTTTTGATCGCCAAAAAATTAAAAAGTATAAAATTAAAAAAAAAGGAAGCTGGAGTGAAATCTACTATGGAATTGTAAGATATCTTAAGAAGTGAAAAAATATATCCTAGTATCCTACTAATATCATGCTCAGAGAACGAGAAAATATTTTATTTTTGAGCGACACGTTTCAATTGTTGAATTCACAGATTCAGTTTCCTGCGGCAATATATTAAAATGTTTATTAAGGCCACCACTCATGCTGATATCAAGTGGTGTGTCAAATCGCTAATATTGTAGTTCGGGTTTTACCAGAGGGGGGTAAATGAAGGTGTCAAATTTGCATTTTCGTAGTAGCATAGATATCGAAATCTTCACTTCAGTCAAGATTCTTCTTGGCAAAACCCGAAGCCCCTGCCATGGTTTTCTGGCTAAACGAAGGGTCACAAGGATCTACCGAGGTGTAATAGATGTTATCAAGCAACCTTGATGAATATCAATTGTGCTCCTCTAACATGGGGTCAAAACAGTAACAATCCGCGACGGGAGCAGGTATTATAATTTATTCAGGGAACTTAAAAACAACACAAGAAAAACAGTGATACCATTAAAATGCGCAGCTTGGCCTTGAAGAAATTTTGAATTGTGTTGATTTATTTTTTCATGTAAGGAACAGCCAATGATGGCTGATCATCTTGATTCAGAGAGGTTACAGTGAATAGTAATCAATTGATATCAATCAACTGATCGATTAAACGTTCACCAAGTTCACGAAAGGCAAATTACTGAATTTATCGGACTAAGTGATTAAACACTAAGTTCTCCACAAGATTTCAAGGTCACGTAATCTGTCGTCCCAAACACGCTTGGATATCCCTGAAAAGCCACTAAAATGCTCATGAGTAAAATCGGATAAGAAGTTGTCGATAACACGTCCATTAATTGGATTAAATTTACCGGCTAGATCACGCGATGTCAGGAGCCCATGATGGTGATGGGCTCCTGGCGATGTGAAGAACACTTGATCGTGAATAAGAAATACTCGACAGGATTTTGGCAATCGTGTTAAGTTGAAGAGCTGCAAATCTCGAACAATTTCCCTATGGTGTTACTAAAACAAGATTCACTCAACTATGTAAGACAATATCAGTGTTCGAATTGAATGTTTCGATAAAAAACGGTCTTGACTTTTCTGACCTCAGTTCTCTCGTTACACAAAGTAAACTTCAGAACGATTTACAGATAACTTTGGACCTAGAAAATTTAACGATAATTACAACTCGCGAGATAAATCAATGCATGCATGAGCTCGACTGAAAATATGTCAAAATATCAGTGCGTCTGATCTTGGTTTTGGTAATTAGTCTAAATGTTTCAAAATTGACGCAGAACTTGATCTTGTCAGGATTACACACAAAGGCAAACTCATCTGTACCCGTAACACTAACGAAATACAGCTAATCAAAGGTAACCTCTACTTGTAAAAACCCTTTTAAAGATCTGTTTTGTAAAGAAGTGTGTATTGTAACTCAACGACTAATACTGAGAAGACTGGTAACACTACTAAATTATAGATTCGAAACATTTAAGTTATTCAACCGTTTCGGTATGGAACATTTGTTGTTGTGGAAGAATTTTTTGTCAAACTCACTCGTAAAGCGAGTTTAGAGGAACTCTATATCATGACGGATTAGAAAAAGAATAACTTTAACTTTCCAAGTCAAAATAATGATTTGTTCCGGGCCTCGACCAACTTATTTTCTGTCCTCACGCTTGGCTAGGCTGTTCAGTAAACAGACAAAATATCTAAAAACATCGTAGCCATCTCGTATCTCACCTTTTCTCCGACGGAATAGCACCGAAAACCTGTTATTTCGCGAAGCAAACAGCCTCTAGTATGGCATCTTCTGTCAGTTTTGATCCTAAAAAGCTCGAATTCTCCGAATACCAGATGAATGGACTTGAATGGATCCTGCGGTCAGTAAAGTTGATTGCCGCGCTGTTGCAGATTAGAGCGCTATCGAAGTTTGTTTTTGTTTGAAATGCGCTCTGATTGACTCCACAAACAAAAGTTCCACAATGACCTCTGTTTCACCCGAATGACGTTTGACATTCGCATCAGAGAAATTCTGACAGCTCAAGTGTATACAAAAGCTGTAATGAATGAAACACACCAGTGGGCGACAGATAAGAAGGATACAGAGAAACAATATTAACCTCTCAGCGATCTTCCACAATAATTTTTTTTAAAAATTACATTATCGACAAAAACGCGCGTCTTTGATCAGTAGAATCATATTTGTCCAACCCTATATACACGTGTGACTGGATGACCTATAACTGATAAAAAATAATACATAAATAATTCTCAGCGCAAACTGTAGAGCAAGTGGAAGCCTGTGTTTTAGTTTGTTTAGTTTTGTATTTTTGTAGTTAAAAGTTTTATTTTTCTTTGTGGTCGTTTCTGACGTCATTGCTACCCGGGTTTCCGTATGAGTCTCTTTTTTTATATCAATTTTACCCCGATTTCGGAAATGGAGTAATTTGTCCAAGGAACTGAAACAAAACCTCGACACATCCGGTAATCTATAAATGCTGGCGAGCGAGCAAACGAACAAATAAACAAACGAATGAACGAAGTAATTGAAGCACCGACGAACGAACGAACGAACGAACAAAGTGAGGGAATTATGAACGAACGAACGAATGAACGAACGAACGAACGAACGACCGACCGAAGTGAAGAAAGTACGAACGAACGAACGAACGAACGAAGAGCGAACGAACACCTTAGGTGGCCGTATTGAAGACATCATAATTAACTTCACAAGTCAAAATCATGCCATTATCACCAATTTACGTCCTGCAAACAAGGAAAGGAAGGAAAATGAGGGGTTGTGGTTAGTTAATTAGCCAAATAACGAAATGAGCTTGCACGAAATAACAAATAAATCTATACAAACTAACTTTAAGGAAGTACTTTCTGGTACTAAAATGAAACGAACAACGGAAGTTTTAAATGAAATAAGAAATGTAACAAAAATACATCCAGCTTAAAATTTAAGGTGGCTCTGCCTCCCCCCCTTCCCCCACCCCCTAAGTCTCTTTCTTGAATTGAGAGACAAAGAAAATTTTAAAAAATTGTCGCAATTTTGTCGGCCCGAAAGCCTCTGATTCATGTTAGAATATTGATCTATCGAACGTGGCGTATTGCTGCGCGTTATCAAGTATCAGACTCCTTGTTTTCACAGGTGTAACTGAAAGGCGTTTTCACTGGAAAGGACGGTCTACTGCGGTACAAATTTACTCATGATTCTGGGGCGTGCAAAATAATCATAACTTCATTGGTACATGTATCTGTTAAGCCAACTGGCGCGTTGTTAGCTGTCAATGACGAAAAATACATGGAATGCGCATTGTAACAAACGTGATAAATTTTAATTTCCTATACATTCTATATATACGTGAATAAATCTCTACCTTGTCTCGGTAAAAAAAAAAA